ATATATATATATATATATATATATATATATATATATATATATATATATATATATATATATATATATATATATATATATATATATATATATATATATATATGTATATATATATATATATATATATATATATATATATATATATATATTAATATATATATATATATATATATATATATATATATATATATATATATATATATATATATATATATATATATATATATATATATATATATATATATATATATGTATATATATATATATATATATATATATATATATATATATAAATGTGTAAATGTATGCGTATGTGTGTATGTGTGTGTATGTGTTTATATGTATATGTATATGTTTATGTGTATATGTATATATATACATATATCCTTCTGATATATATTCTTCTTGTTTCTTTATGTTTGTCTGTTTTAATTTTGCTTTAAAAAAATATGAATAGATGAACTTAAATCTATAAAATGTTCGGAATCTTTAGAAATCCGTAACATATCTTTTTACTATCTATCGCTAAGATGCAACAACAAATATGCAAACTAAGCCGCATGCTTTTCACGATCCAAAAATAGTTTATAGTGTATTTGAAGGTTTTATCCAGCTTTTGCATTATGCAGTAAAAACACATAAATCATGAATTAAAGTGTCTTACAGAATTGTTAATAGAAAATAGTTATAATAAAAAAATACTTCAAAACATTGTCCAAAAAATAAAAAACAATAAGCAAAATAATCAACAAAATAACAACAATAATACCAAGAAAATAGAACTTAACTATATTTTTCTGCCATGGATACCAAAATTAAATAATCAATTAAAAAAGCTATACTCCAGTTTTTAAGTCACCAAAAAACCTTCAACAATTAATAACTCAAAAAAAAAAAGCCTCGACTTCCCAACAACTCTTATCCAGAAGTCTATAAACTAGAGTTTTTGATTGGAAAACTCTTATCCAGAAGTCTACAAACTAGAGTGTTAGTGAAACAAAATTTAAGGTTTCGACTCGCATTTGCCAACATTAAAAACTTTTGAGGTAAAATGGAAAAATTCGGCAGTGGCAGGGCATTCCAGAAATTGCCATCATGCTAGAATAAAAATAACATTATTAAAATAGAGGCAGACTATTTTAAGAGAAAAGTGAGAGTCTATAGAAATACTGCATCACCAGTGTTCTTCAAATGAAGGTGGTTTGAATGAGGACGATGGTGATTACGTCACATCGTTGTTTTGAAAACCTTATTTTTCCTATTTAAGACGCAAGAACATTGAAGTTTTATTATTTGTTTGTTTTTTAACGGTTTTTTATATTACTTGAATAACGAGGGTATATATAACCTCTAGAAATATTGTACTTTAATATAAAGAATTTTATAAGGGTAAGTGTACAAACTATAACAGATGTTTCAATTTAATTAAATTATATATAAACTTATCTAAGATGTTAACTTTTAAAAACAGAGAAATAACGTCACAACTTTGATTTGTGCGTCAAATATAACTGCTGCACCAATTTTTTTGTTTTCGTTTTTTTAATAGTAAAAAAATACATTTACTTACAAAGAGTTAAATCTCAAAAGGAAGTTTTTTATTTAATTAGATATAAATTCTTTAAAGATGTCATTAAAAGAAATTCTTTAAAGATGTCATTAAAAGAAATTCTGAAATAGTATACTTAGTAGGAGCTTCTTTTAAAGATTATTTCTGGCGCAAAATAGTTAAAACTTTGGTATTTAAAAAGACGTTCGCAAATAATTTTTATCATTTTTATTAGAACAGCTAACGCAAACCTTACTCTCATGCTGTTATATTATCTCCATAAACTGTTATCTTCATGACATTACTGTTATACTCATTAATTTCTATTTCTAACATGAAATGATTAATACTCTGAAAATAGATTTGTCAAGTTTTCAAATGTTATTCCCGTAGCAAACATTTTTTCTTAACCCTTTGTTGAGCTTATTCTATGTTGGCCTATCCTAGCTAGCACATATGCATGGTTCAACGTATGTAAAATCATTGGCTATTTTTTCTGATGCAAATTCAACGTTGATTCAATGTCATGTGTTTAGCAATAAAAAATTTTGAATATAATGAAAAGATTAATACCGGCGCATTGAAAACAGCTTGCACGTTTGGTTAACATATGTAAAAACATCGCAAAGTTGATTGTTTTTAAAATATAAACCCAATGTTGATTTATTGTATATAATCCAACGTTGAATAAATATATATGAATCAACGTTGATCATTGATGTTTTTATATCTTTTTGTAACCAAAAAGGTATAAAAACAACGCCAACCATCGATGATATGCTAACTCAACTTGCAACATTTTTCTAACGTTTTACCAACGTATGTTAGCTAGCATACATAAGGAACCCATTTTTAAAACGTGCAAAGTCTGAGAAAATAGTTTTAGGAAAATGACTAAAACCTGACCTACTAATAGTTGCGCATCAACAGAAATCGATATTTTTTTGTCTAATTTTAGAACAGAGAAACTTTCAGTTGGCCTAATATTTAAATAGATGATTTTGTGGCTTAGCACGTTTTGCAGATAGGTTCCTCATATACAGGATACAATTTTTATCTTTGATTAAGCTATAAACGAATTGCCACAAGACCACTCTAAAAAATTCATTACGCCTATCTCTATTTAAGCCAATGGGCCAATACTCTATTGCGTGTCTAGTTAATAAACATTCTTGAAATATATTTTTAAGAAATACCTCTTGAAATATTAAAATTACATACTGAAAGTATGTGTTTATGATAAATTATGATTAATTTTATTTTGAATAAAATTAAATTTATTTAACTTCAATTAAGTTAGCGTTTTATTTTATATTGTTGAAATAAAAATAGATGTAACACTATATGTAAAAAAAATTATAAGTTTATTTACAACTTAATGATTTCACTTAAATTTTATTGTAACCCTCTGTAAATAGACCTTTATAAGTATGTGGATGACATGAATTCACCATTTACAAGTGGTGAAGATGCACACGGCATATAAGATCTTTTTTTTTTTTAGTTATTAAGGTGTTCCTAGAAGACCTAAAGGTTTTGTCACGTAGCATTGTGGAAGAGCATTTAATAAGACGTCCTTCCTTACAAATGTCGCAAATATAGCCAGACATCGCATCTCAAACAAAGTCTACTTAATAAACAACATTTTTTTTTTTTTCTATGAACAATTCCTAATAGTCTTATCAAAAAACGTCAGACGATATATACTTATTGCAATAGAAATAAAAGACTTAGTTTACTTTTATAGTTAAAAGTTACACTTTCTCCAACTCTGAAGATTAAAAAGTGTCTTTAGTAAAATCAGTAAAATAAACCACATTAACGCCCTGTATACGCCCTTATATTTAAACTTTATATGCCTATGTATTTTGTTCCCCAAAATATATTTTAATAAATTATAAAGTTATCTATATATTAAGTAAAAAGTTTTTTATTTCAAAAATAATTTTTTTTTAATGAATGAATTGCTCGGTGAGATGGTTTTTTCTAATTCTCAAGTTGTTGTTTTTTTTTATTATTATTTAAAGGCTAATCGCAAAAGATTAGCACAAGCATGCCAAAATGCATCTAAAATAATTTAATATCAAATCTCAAAACCAGTCTCAATTTATAGTGTATAAAAATTTAATTAAGCTATTACAATCTGTTAGAATAATAAATTATATTATCAAAATAATCTAATATCGAAAATATTAAACAAAATGGTTTTGTTTTAAAATGAGCCTGCAATGAGCAAGATTTTAATTCAAAAAAGGAGGCAAATATGTTTTTGTTGTGTTGATGGAAACAAAATAATACTATCTTTGAAGGAAATAGTTTATTAATTCAACTGAAAAGAAAATTTGCAGACCCTGGATTTATTTGAACATAAATTCTTATTCGGCTGGAGCTTGTTGAAGGTGCAAGAAAAAATTATTTACCTGAAAATAACAAAATCTATATAATTTTTGACCGCAATTTATGCAAATAGTATTTTGTATACCAAATATCTTTGTATATAAAGAATCTGAAAAGATTCCATTTAAAAAAGAAATTTATTTTGCACAGAATACAATCAAATAGTATGTTCTGGTATTTGAAACAGAAAAATTGTAAACTCCGCAGGTACTGAACATTATTTGAGAATTTTCGAGCCTCTTTCAAACACATTGAATAACAGACAAAAAATTTGGGAATGGACGGACACACCATATTTTTATAGACAATATCGTCTAACTTACAAGAAATTTTTTAATATGTATAATTTTGGCTTGCGTAAAGAGACATGCCAGCGACAATTAAATAAATTTGTAATGTCTCATGGGAAAGTTTTTTTTTACTCTGTTAAAAATTATCTTCAAAGCGGTTTAACTTACCCTTATACTTAAAAAGAACATTATACGTATATAATACGTATTGTGTGGCGATTATCAATTAAATAATACTTAATTTTAATTACTCTCGACTTGTGAAGAAGAAAAAAATTAAAAAATAAAATCTCGTAGAAAACTTTTTATATAAATTACTTACAAATTTAATAACTTTATTTATATCGAAGAAGATGTACATAACAATAAGCTTATTGGAAAATTTTTTAGGGTAAAAAGTTTCAATCTTAAAGAAAAATATATTTTTAAATGATCATTAGTAAACATTCTTCAAACAACAAAACCTTGTTCGTTAATCTTACAATGTATGACACTAACTAGACATCAGTTTATTAACTATGTAGTTGTTATAATTAATACCTATTTAACTATGAAATAGTCATTTAAGAATTTATATTTTTAATAAACTTAACAGTTAATAGTAACTAATTCATAAGAATGAAAAAATTACGCATGCAGACAGAAAAATACGCAGGTTGTTTTATTAACAAACTTTTTATATGTATAAACTTATTTTCAATTAAAAAAAAAAGACGAAATGACGCTCATGATATAAGTTTTAGATAACAATATCATAAGTTTATAGAAAAATTATTCAAAGCACGAGTAGCACTGTATTTCTAATATGCGTGTTTACATTGTTTTTTTACTTTGCATTATGTTTTATTTGCTACAATTTTTTAATCTAGGAACCACCTAAATGTTTAACAAAATGTATTCGGGGAGCTGAATGTAAAAACATTTTTTTAAGGCACAGTGTTGTTTGTTAAATGATACCTTTACAGTTGCAAGGTGTTTCTGATTATTGAATTCAACGTTTCAAAAAGATGAATATGAGTCTGTAGAGGTGTTGTTAAAAAATTTAAAGAATTTTCATTTGTTTAAAACGCAACTATTATTTAATAAAGTTTCAAAAATGGTAAAAGTTTTTTTTTAAACATTTTTGTTTATTGTTTTTTTATAAGAATATTATTTACATTCATATAATTTTTAACAAAAGAAATATTAAAAATAATAATATTTTTTCAGCAAACGAACTTAAAATAAAATCAACAAACAGAGAATGATATGGCAATTAATTTTAAAAAGTATTTTTTATTCGTTTATCTTGGTGTTCGGACTAATTGGTAACGTTTTTGTCATATTTTTCTTTTCTTTTAAAATGAAGAACGCACCAAGTTTTCGTTGGTTAGTTGTACATCTTGCTATTGCTGATGCTATATATGCTGTTGTCACGCCAATGCAATTTCTATACTTACTTCATAACAACAACGAGTGGCGACTTGGTACCGGATTGTGTAAAACAATCACATTTATTGGTCCATTGACTGTTAACGTAAGCGCTTTGATTCTTTGCCTCATGGGATATGAAAGATACAGAGCAATATGCCGACCGTTTTCTCGAAGATTTTCTTTAACTGTGATAAACTTAATTGTTTTTGTTATATGGGTAGTCTGTATTGCGTTAAAAATTGACATACTACTGCATTATCACGTCGTAAACAGTCGCTGTACTTTAGCCTCGACTTCAAAAATACCTTACCTAATAAATTCGCTGGCATCTTTATTAGCAGATAGCTTGATACCAATTGTTTTGCTTACATATTATCTAGTTCGAGTTAATATAACACTTCGATTAAGGGCAAGGTATTTAAATGACATGAATTCCACTAAACTGTGTAGAAAATTTGAAAATGATTCCAATATAATATCTGACAGATGCGTTGGATTAAATATAGAGGAATCCAGTAAAGTTAAACAATCGCGTTTTTCACTTGGTTATGAAACGGATACAAATTTTAATACCAGGTTTAAATTAAAAAGAGCGTCAATGGCATGTAAAGATCGATCAAACTCAGATGGATTGACATGCAATAACTATCCTTGGACGCCTGTAAATAAATGTAATTCATCTCAAATTGAAATTTTTGGATCTCTATCAAGTAACGGGCGCAAGCAGGGCAGTATTTTTGCTTTAATTTCGGCAATTAGTCGGAAACGCTCTTCGCTTCACGAACTTGCTAAAATACGAATAAAAAACTCGAGAGATCGTTCAATCGTAAAAGTTTTTTTGTTGACCGTAATAATTTTTTTTGTATCAAGCATACCGTATAATGTATTTTATTTTGTTGTCATATTATTGTACACAACTTATTTTACTAATGTGGATATAGAAAAGTACAGTAGCAGTTTGGAAAGTGCAAATAGTTGGTTGGGTTTATTAGTACTTTCAGGATGCATAATGAATGTTTTTATTTATAGCGGAAAATTCCCCGAATTTCGTCAACAAATGAACATTATGTTAAACTTAAATCATTTTAACAAAGCTTCGTTAGTAAACAATTTGCGTAACGTTTAAAACATTTACTATAAATTTAATTACTTATAATATATATATATATATATATATATATATATATATATATATATATATATATATATATATATATATATATATATATATATATATATATATATACATGTAAATATGTTAATTTAAAATATGTTAAAATATATATATATATATATAAAAACGGATAATCAACAAAATAACACAATGTTGTTCTTAATTCACTAAAAAATGTATGCAGAACCGTTATCAAGATATTTTTTATGAAAAGTAGGTGGGAAGAGGGTTAATTGTTTCTGATTATGATGAACTTAAAAAAAAGGCTTCTAAAAAAGGAGCTTGTAAATTTAAAGATATGCGCAGATTGACGCTTGAGTGCAAAAAGTGATTTCGCCTACGCTAAACGCTGTGTTATAATACTGCAAGGTACGCATATGAAAGCAAAATTTTTTGTTTTGTTTTGCGCCTTTTAACTGATTAAATAACATGACTAAGCTAAAAAAAAATTTTATCTTTTAACTAAATTAAATTAACTATAAATAACTAGTTTTAAAATGAATAATAAATACTAATATATTTATAACTTAAATTAAAATAAAACAAAATACTGTTGATATACAAGGGAAATGCAAAAAGTCCAAAAACATTATTTTGAGATAATGAACAAATAAGTTTTTGCTTAAATAGTTATAATGATAAGTTTTTGTGTAATAGTTGAAATAAAAAATCATAATAACTTATTAATAATTTCACTAAACTTATGTGGTATATCAAAAGATTTATTAAATTTGTGTGGTATATCAAACGATAGAGAATTTAAAATATTAAATAGTGGTATAACTCCATACTGCCAAAAAGGTGCATTTCCCCAGTATACCAACGATACAAACTATAACGTTCGAATTTGCAATAAAACATTTATATGCAAATGTTTTTGTACCATACTTTTTTTTGTAGACCTTTTTTTTTCTAAAATTATACAAGTCTTTTTCCTCTGCATAATTTTAACGAAAATAATTATTTTACACAGAAGTGTAAAAATTACAAACGAAAAAAACCTATTCACTCAAAAAAAAAATTTTTCCTTAAACTTTATTTTCCTAACGATTTCATTATTAGGTTCTTAACTATTTAGAGTTGGTTAGCAATTTTTCACATAAGGTTTTCTTGGTGCCTGGGTTGCTATGCAACATCGTTTTTTTACATGCCATTAAAAAAAATGTTATTAACTGAAAGTGAGTTTCCACTCATCCGTTTTTCTATTAGCATGCGCAGTTTTCCTTTAAACAAATAAAAACTTTTATTACGCATGCTCACGTGATTATTTTTTCCGTTACCGTAAAAAAATCGATTAGTGGAAACTCACTTGAACTCTACGTTTAAAATAAAAGCTTTAAACGTATGGTTAGATAAACGTAGTTAAAGTTTTAATCTTTAGAGAATTTATTAGACATTTCCTAGTTTATTGTGTACACGGTGCAGTTAAGGCGATTTATAAGTTATTCAAATTCTTTTATTTGAAATTTGCATGATTTTGTCAGCGTATTATGTTTGAACAAGTGCTTTAGATGCTACAATTTTTATTGCATCATAGTTTAATAACATAATCTGTTCTGTTTCGATTTCAAACACAAATCTGCAGTTTCCTACTCCTCCTCATCCTCAGTTGCAGTCCGGTTAGGTTTTTTATATTTATTGAAATATATTTATTAATTATTATACATATTTCGTTTTGAAGAATGTTTGATATTATATAATATATTAGTAATATCAAACATTCTTCAAAATGAAATATGATATAATAATTAATAAATTTGAATAAATACGTCTACGCCAGTGCATATAATGCATTATTAATATTATTTATAATGCATTATATGCAATGGCGTAGGAAAAAGGAGGGGCGGAGGGGACGCAGCTCCCAACTAAAACACATGGGGCGGACACTGCATTTAGCCCCTACTTTTAATAAAGAAGATTAATTTACAGTTTTTTTTAATTTCTCTACTGTTAAATTATATAAATAAGACTACAATATTGTTAATATAATTTTACCTTTGTAAAAGTTTAAATAATGTGTTTGAAAACTGTGTATGTTTGTGTAAATGTGTGATTGTAAAAACTTACTAAATCAAATTATGTTATATATACAAATACTTTGTGTAAATAGATAACTCAACTGTACTAACATCTATACTAACACCAGTCCTTGCTAGAGCGTTGTAAGTGGACCAATTATCACCTGATTTGGTTAATCACCGTATTAGATGTTTAATTTATTTATACATTTTTTTGTTTGTTGTCACTTAATGTGAGTTTAAAAAAAATCTTCTGTTTCATTATACTATCATTTTTATTAAAGTATTATTTTATGTATTTTCTTAAAAAATATACCTGTTTTATTTTCATTTACATTTAGTGAATGATCGTCGATAACTAACATTATTAAACCGAGCAACCAAACTATAATTTCTGCAACAATTATTATCTCAACAGCAGCGTTGCATTATAAAAACTAAGTTCAACGATTTTGGGCTGGCTGTTTCATCAAAGGAACAGTTAAAAATAATTGAAACAGATTGTCTTGACTATGAAATGCAAGGAAAGATTGTAATTGTTGTAACTGTTTGGTCCACAAAATATTTTAGTTCAATTTACTTTAAACATAGTAAATTATATCTTTTAAAAGGTTTTTTATTTTTAATTTAGACACGTTATTTTGGTCAGTGTGGTGAAACAACTGTTTCTGAATCAACAAGAAATATAATGAAGCCGTTAATGAAAAATAGCATTGCAGTTGTTTATAATTGGAAAGAAAAAAGGGGAATATATGCTTTTAGCAATAGCAAGCTTTGTTAAATTATAAATAGTGCGCTTTTTTTGCGTGAAACATGGAATCGGCAACCTTTGGCCGCATGTAGTTTTTTTATCCAAACTGTGTGGCTCTTCAACCTGTCCGAGTTTTATATTTAAATGATTTTGAATACCATTGAATAATAATCCCCGCATTTATTATCCTTACGACTCTTTAGTTTATTTTTTCTTAATTATTTTTAGAAAAATGACTCTCAACTTGAAACAGGTTGCCGACCGCTGTGTTAAACGATCATTATTTATTCTTTCTGTAGATTTACTCTTACCGTTTTTGATACTTCTAATATAATTATTATAATTATTTATTATTATTTATTAATATAAATATAAAATTTTAATTCTTTAGATTTAAGAGTTTAGATTACAAGATTAGAAGTTGTTTAAAAAATTAAATTAAATGAATTAAGTGAAATGAAAGTAAATCAGTTTATTGTCATCTAACCATTATTTGATTTTATTTAGATGCTGTTTGACGTAATCCGTCAACATGTGGTGGTACGGATGCCAATGCAAGTGGAGTTAAAGCATTGCTTTGCTTTGCAAGAGATCGTGATGGAGGGAGGAGGAGAAGAGAAGCAGCGTTTTAAAATGTTTAAATATTATAGTTTCAATGATAAATCACTTTTTACTATAACAATTAATTAGAACTTTATTTACTTAACCATTATTTGATTTTATTTAGATGCTGTTTGACGTAATCCGTCAACATGTGGTGGTACGGATGCCAATGCAAGTGGAGTTAAAGCATTGCTTTGCTTTGCAAGAGATCGTGATGGAGGGAGGAGGAGAAGAGAAGCAGCGTTTTAAAATGTTTAAATATTATAGTTTCAATGATAAATCACTTTTTACTATAACAATTAATTAGAACTTTATTTACTTAACCATTATTTGATTTTATTTAGATGCTGTTTGACGTAATCCGTCAACATGTGGTGGTACGGATGCCAATGCAAGTGGAGTTAAAGCATTGCTTTGCTTTGCAAGAGATCGTGATGGAGGGAGGAGGAGAAGAGAAGCAGCGTTTTAAAATGTTTAAATATTATAGTTTCAATGATAAATCACTTTTTACTATAACAATTAATTAGAACTTTATTTACTTAACCATTATTTGATTTTATTTAGATGCTGTTTGACGTAATCCGTCAACATGTGGTGGTACGGATGCCAATGCAAGTGGAGTTAAAGCATTGCTTTGCTTTGCAAGAGATCGTGATGGAGGGAGGAGGAGAAGAGAAGCAGCGTTTTAAAATGTTTAAATATTATAGTTTCAATGATAAATCACTTTTTACTATAACAATTAATTAGAACTTTATTTACTTAACCATTATTTGATTTTATTTAGATGCTGTTTGACGTAATCCGTCAACATGTGGTGGTACGGATGCCAATGCAAGTGGAGTTAAAGCATTGCTTTGCTTTGCAAGAGATCGTGATGGAGGGAGGAGGAGAAGAGAAGCAGCGTTTTAAAATGTTTAAATATTATAGTTTCAATGATAAATCACTTTTTACTATAACAATTAATTAGAACTTTATTTACTTAACCATTATTTGATTTTATTTAGATGCTGTTTGACGTAATCCGTCAACATGTGGTGGTACGGATGCCAATGCAAGTGGAGTTAAAGCATTGCTTTGCTTTGCAAGAGATCGTGATGGAGGGAGGAGGAGAAGAGAAGCAGCGTTTTAAAATGTTTAAATATTATAGTTTCAATGATAAATCACTTTTTACTATAACAATTAATTAGAACTTTATTTACTTAAAAAGTAGCGCCAACCTGTAAAATCCAACAATTAATTAGAACTTACCTAACAATTAATTAGAACTTTATTTACTTAAAAAGTAGCGCCAACCTGTAAAATCTATTATGATACCAACGTTGGTTTAATAAGTATTAAATCATCCCAGCCTACACACTACATTACGCCATCTTTGAAGAAAGATATGATGCACAATTGCATTGTTTGCTTGACGAGGATGCATTTTAGCACCTACAACCTTTTACTAACGTTGCACCAATGTAGTACCAACTAAGTGAAGCATCATTAAAATGCGTCGCTAACTGTACCCAACTAGCCCATTTCGTTAGAAAAACGTCGACCCAACGTTGAAACATTTATTAAAGCGTTGTTTTGACGTTGGGTCAATGTGTTTTAA